TAGTCAGATGCAGCTTGCTAGATACTTCATGATCGTCCGGTCCGTCCGATTACCCGTCCGTACTCACCGTCTGTCAACATTCGGCACACAATCTAACGGCTCGACTCCACTGCGTCACGATATTCTGGACGTGGGGTGGGCTGGGGGGGCGTAATCGGAAAACGATTGGGAATTGTCAATGTGGGTCAAAGGTCAAAGATCAAGAGCGTGTAAAAGAACGGCGAACATTCCTCCTTACTTAATGTATAGGGAGGAAATGCAAATTTGCCGACAAATCTAAACGGCCTACTAGGCTTCGTGCTATAGCCGGATGTATAGCATCATTGTAGGAAAAACCATCACTGTGCCGAAATTTGTTGAGTCACAGACGTCAAAAGGGTCAATGACAGTGCAGATTTTTAGACATTTTTGATGAACATCGGTCTGACGGCCAACGATGTTGGAATAAAATTTTTTTGTTTATTCACAGGACCTAAGCATTTTTATGCCATTATTGAAAGCACCATGAAATCTACTTCTTGACCTACATGCGAAAGAGTAAAGGTCAGATAACCTTTTGACCCTCAAGACGGCGGGCGGGGGGCGGGTAGGAATTAAACATGAGTTTGTTGACTGTCTGTTAGAAAGATTTCATGCCGGTGTTTGACTAGTAGACATCACCATATATACATGCATGGATGTATGAGCTACAATGTCACAGTGAATTTCAAAAGCTAATATTTGGTTAAGAGGTTTTATGCTGCCTTAATCTTCATTTCTATGATTTCTGCTACTGTCAGTATGTTACTATTACGTATGCACTGCAGTGGCTAACTGCCAGTGCATGTGTTGGTGGTATGTGTAGTTATTTGCCTTGCTTTAATTGGATTACAGTGCACTCGTCTATTGCAGCCTGTAGGCTTCCGTAGTAAATGGATGAGTGCTTACCTATTCTGTCTCTGAAAATCTAGTTGTTGCTACTTAGCTACGAATGGACTTCCATCTTTAAATCTGAAGACACTTAAACGTTATACGCCATCTTCATGCAACTTTATAACGATACAACGAACATTCCTTTGAGAAGTTACCGTTACCATCCCTGTGCATTCATCTGTTTCGGCGTGTATAGTGAACACATTGGGACTACAGGATTTACTAGAAAACGACCACCACTCCACACAGAGTCACCGCAGTGACTTTTAAGTATGAGCCATGTCTCCGCCGGCACTTGTTGGTATTGCGAGACATAATAGGCTAGGTGTTTGATATTTAAAACAAAAAGCAAAATTACGTAATGGTTTGCAATTATATAGCTATTATATAGCACACAAACATGTTGTTGGCTTCACACTCGTCTGTAGTTCGTTTTACAAGATTTCATTGACAATATCTTTATGCAAAATTTGTATTTCCTTCCACCTGCCATAAAACTAACGTCTTATATTAGAGTTAAAGATTTACAACATGTCCCGGAACGCAGCAAACCTATTTATTTAAAGCCCATCACTTACAAACGGTATAGCGCCACTACCCGGTCATCAAATTGTGATTCTTTGTTTATAATTAGTTATTCGATTACTGCATGCAATTTTCTATAATGTTAACCGTCATGCGTTGCTCAATTAAAATCTGACTCTTCTTACTCACTCATTTGTGTCCTTTTTTTGGTGAGCTTACGTTCATTGACTACTTTCTATTACTATTTATTTTCCATATTCGCATTAACTAATGTTGTGAAGTTATGTTGTTGATTTCTTAATTGATCATCCGGAAAATATGAACTCGTCTAACTTAATGATACAAATGATCCATCTGACAACAATTGATCTATTAGGCGTGCTGACTGACAGCATCTTCAGCTAATTATCGTTGCAATAGCGGCACTAATAAAACACCAACACTTAGTGCAACCAAAGCTCCCACAAAGTCAACATTTTGGCATCTGCATGGTGAAAACAAAAAACTTGTCCACTTGCAACAACTATTAACCAAAGTCAAGTTGGTCCATTGTCATCACAAGTGAAAATCAAAGAACACTATATTAATGTTAAAACACTAGAGTTTATTACCAGACATGGTAATGTAGAACTTTATATTATGTACAATAGAGCAACAAAACAAGAAGGTAAAAACATTGATAATGTTTATAACCAACAAGTAAAGGCGGAATAGTGATAGATAACAATCAGCGAACAAACGGTTAAAGATGAGAAGGCATAATAACTAGACATCAGACTACTAACTTACTAGCTACGCAACGATATAGAGATTGAATAACGACTCCAAGTAATTTACGCATTCCAGATTAGCCAGTACCAAAGCAAAACCACAGCAATGATACTTAGCTTATAATAATTAGCGTAGTTAATATAATTAGTATTTCGTGGAATTCTCTGGTAAAACGTCAGCGTTGCATTCAACCTGCCGGAATGATTTATCGTTATCTCTTCCATCTCTACGCTGCACCCATTCTTAGAGCCGACAGACTTATTAGACGCCTCCTCTAGCTCCATCTCTGATAGGGACGCATGACTCACCAATGCTTTCATTCTTTGTGTAGTACTAGTCTCTGGAAGTTCATGACTTTGAATGATCTATTCATCGTTGCTGCTGTTGCGAAAGTAAAAGCGCACTGCGTAGTGCCTCCCGAATCGCGACGTGTCAGAGCATTTTCGTTGATTGTTATAAAACTTGCTTGTGTCGCCTCGAGAAATTTCTGCCTTTTCACGTATAATCTAAATGCGTGAGCAGTTCTGGGGCATCGAACGTCTGCTTTATGTTCGATGCGTGCTGAAGTGGGTCCCCTCTCTAATGTTCTGAGAATCGTGACCAACAGATTTTACGTGTTATGACTGGTTGCGTGAAAGTGCTTATGCCGATAACGATATGACGCTCCTGCGGTGTTAGAGACGCGCTACAGTTTCGATTTCGTATCTTGAATCTAATGTTTCTCAAATGTCCATTCTGTACTTGATCGACTCGCCTGTTTTCGGTCGCGCATGTACGAAACATTAGAACGGGCGCTTTAGATTTGCGCGACATAAAACACGGTAACCACGCTTATAAAATGCACATACCATTTTGGCATGTCTCTTTCTGTCGCGTTGTTGCTGCAATCTTGCCAAGCTCACATCAAGCTATGACTGCATTGCATGCTAAAGCTAGCCTCGTTGAGGCCAAAGACATCGTAGCAGATAATATTACAGCGGTGCGAAATTACGGAGTCCGGAGTTCAAATTACTCTCCTGATTTACTTCGGACTCCTGATTGAAATTATGCAGGATCGTGTGACTTCCCTGATAAAATTTCGCCATACAAAATAGTTGTTTTCTGGAGCACACGCCTCGCTGATTACCGTATTTTTTCAGCTAATTCCACAAGAAATTTGGCAGACGTGCAACCGCATGAATATTAAAAATAAGCACATCGTTATTGTTAATTTCTTAATTTTGAATCCTCAGACTGCCGACTCCCTCATTTTTGCTGCGGTAGATCCGTGTTCAAAGTTAATTTCTAATTCCCTGATCATATATATCTATTATATTATATTTCTATATTATATTATACTATATATATACTAAATGTATGGATTTATACATTATTCAGAAACATTCAATCAAAGAATCTTCAACATTTTCGTTTCCCTGGCCCTGTGCCCCCTCAAACCGATATCGAATTTAATATTTGTAACACTTACTGTAATACGCGTTATTCATCTGTATACACACCTTATGCACTTCCAATCCTAAGCTTTTAGTAAAGGCATTCAAACACTAACAGCTCAATAGGAGACTAGCTTAGCTAGTTGAAAATCATTCTCAACTTTGAGATTTGAGTGGTGCGTTCATTCACGCGCGACTCCTTTTCAGTTGCTAGTGGAATTTCCTTTATTCTACGTCCACCTTATATAGCATTCACGCATCTTCTGCGTGTTCAGTATTTAGGGTGACAAATGGGGTGTTTGCTGAGAATCGATTTATTTTTTATACATCACAAGGATATGGGATGCACTAAATCCCCGTAATTTCAGTTGAAAGACAACGCTCGTGCGTGAAAGTGATGCGTGTGCCGCTGTTGCGTGTGCGCGCGCGCTGTGTTGTTTCGAATGATGCGCTCGTGCAGTGCGCGCGCGCGTCCTGTGGCGCTTGTGCTTGTTGCCGTGGCATGCGTGCGTGGCTTGATGGTATGCTGCGTGCTGCGCCCGTATGATGTGTGTGCAGGTGCCTTGTGAGCTGTCGCGTGTGCGTCTTGCGACGGTTGTGTGCGCCAAATCATCTTTGCGGCATGGTGTGTGTGTTTGTGTTGGTGTGTGCTGTGTAACTGTGCGGTTATGCTGCGCGTGCCGTGTGCGCGGCGTGCCTCCTTGTTGTGTGCGTTGATGTGTTGTGTCGCCGTGTGCGTGCGCATTGTTGAAGTGCGCGCCGCGCTTGTGTGACTGTTATGTAGTGTGCACGAATTGACGATGCTCACGTGCGTCGCTGATGTGTGTTGTGCTGTGTGGTGTTTGTGACGTCGCGCGCGCGCGTGTTTGTGTTGTGGTGCTGTTCGCCCGTGGTGCGCTGTGTTGTGTTGTGCCGTGGCGTAGTGCTGCGCGGCCTATGTACCTTGTGTGCGTGTGCCTGCGCGTGTGTGCTGCGCCGCCGGTGTCTAATGTTCGTGTGGTGTCGGTGCCATGATGTACCTGTCGCGCCGCGCTGCGTGTTGTGTGTGTGTGTGTGTGTGTGTGTGTGTGTATGTGCGCGTGCGTGTGCGCGCGTGGGCGTGTTGTGTGCGTGCGCGTGTGTGTGTGTGTGTGTGAACGTGCGCGCGCGCGTGTGTGTGCGTGTAGCTGTGCACGTGTGCGTGTGTGCGCGCGCGTGTGTGTTGTGTGTGTGCGTGCGTGCGTGCGTGCGTGCGTGCGTTTGCGTGTGTGTGTCTGTCCGTGTGCGTTGGTGATGGTGTGGTTTGCGTAATTGGCAGCCGTTTACTCGCCTGACTGCGTGTGCCGGCAGCTGTAACATTTCTGTGTCAATACCTTTCTGGTGAACAGTCTGCAAGAAGAGATCATTGATACAGATGACAGTGTAGCCGACCAACGCTGCATGGGTGCCTGCCGTGCCTTTTCATAGCGTGTGCTTAACCAGCCGACGTAAGCGTTATGTAACATTGATTCTGCCACAATACAGATGTCTGCGGACGGTGTATTGGCACTCGGGGAAGAGATAGCACTACGTTCACTTTGGAATTTTCGAAGTTACTGGTAAACTTACCAAAACACGACCGCTTTGAGTAATTGTGTATAGAATGAAGGAGAGTGAGCCGTAGTGTATCTGTAATCGTGGTTCAAGATCTCCATTTGATCAGAAACTGTGGGGAATACCCCATGCCATCAGTTTGCTCAGTGATCCATATCTTCGGTGTGACTTATATTGTTTGCATTCTGGAACACGATTGCATTATAGCACGTTAATCTATTGGAGTAGATGCGCTGCGTGTATTCCTGCATCGTGTTCTTACGGTAACTTCTGAGTTTGCGAAACGCTGCATCCGTCCAAATTGTCACCATGGTTACCATGTGCAGAGGAATGCATCATTTGTCCATGGGTATGTTTATGCTTACGCGCAGTTTCTTAGATTTAAAAAAAATTGAAAGGGCATACAGCAATTCATTTTTCGTAAATGCTAATGGGTGAGCGACAATGTATCTGTTCAAAGTTCAACATTTACGTGATTTTATTTAGTTACCTTGTCAGTGCAGAAGTTTGAGACAAGTATATAGACATATGTATATTATAATTAACAGCATAATCTCCGACCATGCTAGAAGATTTTTTAATTAATTCTGCAGCAAATATTGCCCAAAAATCAGTATCCCTGTTTACCACAATTCCCCTTTTAATTTCATATCGTCCTCTATGTGGGTTAAGAACTTAAAGGTGAAAGGGGTGCAAATTAACATTAAAGGATCGCAGCCTGAATGTGTAATGTAGATTAAGGAGACCATACTTTAATAAGCATCTAGATACCGTTTACCATAGATGCATAGATACCGTTTAGCTTATAGCTGATAGTGCATATATCGTTACAGATTTGAGGCATTGCTTACTCACGTCTCTAACTCTTCCCGCACAGTAATATTATATACTGCTGCGCCACGATGTACCAGCTTTGGAAAATATTATGGCTTCGTGATAAAAAGTATGTTGATAAATTTTTTATGCAATAGGTTCATCTGAAATACTATATCTTACACAGCACTCTGCTTCCGCGAGGATGTAGTATCTGCAGTCTTATATATGTTATCGGAATTGGGTTATGTTGCCTCACAAGAGTCCTATTATGAAGTAGCATCATCTTACTCGTGACGCAAATATCTTGTATTATTCTCTTAATATTAGGTTGTTCAGCTGTACAGTGTGTTGTGCTAGGCCATCAGTCATACGGGATTGCTGGTAGCCCGATGCATGATAACTGTGACTCAATCATTCTATTTCAGCGCTAGTATTATAGTGAGTAAATGCTAGAGTGGTTAGTGCCTGAGGCTGTGCTGCAAATGCTCTTCTTCAACACGCGTGCTAGACTGCATTGTGACGCGGACATTATTCATGTTGATAGCTGTACTCGGCATAATAAAAGTGTGCCCTATTTAAAATCCAAGGCGTCGTGGTAAAGTTTGCACTTTTGAAGTTTGGTGCGTAATGTTGTTGACACAGATTGAACATTTAAAAGTGCTACGTTGAAGATTTTATGCTGTGACCACGCTCAGTGCTTGCATTGTTGATTATTCGTTGGGTTCGGTTACGGCTACTCATCGTTTATTGATTCTGAGTAATAGCTGTAGCCTCTGGTTGTAGAGGCTTCTAGGTTTAGAAAGAGAAATATAAAACAGCTACAAATGTACGTAGCTCTAAAACAGGTGTGAACCATCACATAGTCGTCTCTGAAATGCTCACCCACCCCCACCCCCGCCATACTGCACGTTGACTGGGACCTGTGCCCTCCCTTCACCCGTTTTTTTTTCGCCGGAAATTTGCCCTCTTCCTAGGAATCTTCTTAGCTTATGACTTTGATTTGTAGTAACGAGCCAAATATTGTTCTTCTCGTTAATCATTGTTGTTCACGGTAATGTTAAAATATACGGATTATTTCTTCCGTCACACTACACCCCATCAGCACTCTCAGTAACAATTTAGAGTAACACTCTTAGTTGCTCTCCTAGTTAATTGTCGTTTTCCCCACTAATGATACGTGTGCAATTCACGTTGTATGCCGTCAGCGCCTTCAGTAATAGTTCGTAGTAACGTTTTTAATGTGTTGTTCTCTTGCCACTACCCTGTTTTAGTGTGCAGGAACAATGAGGTGCTGTCGCCGACGTATCACCCGGGAGTGTTTAGCAGCGGCAAGTGGAGCTGCTGCGACAAGATCGCGAGATACGACGCCGGCTGCGAAACCTCGACGATACTGTCAAGCAAAGCCTCGCCAGACATGACCAACGGACGAAAGGAGTCAGCGATGGAGAAGAGCCTACTTGGCATTCCGCCGATACCGCGGACCAAACCCCCGGAGCAGGTCGGTGTCTTTCAAGGGCAGAATTTTCTGTGTTGAATTTCAAGTGTTGCCTTTGGTTTACTCAGAAATTTCAAGGCGCTATGTTTAGTTGGAGGGACACCAAGGCAAACATCTCCTTCAATGAAGAGTTATCAAGGCCACATACTATTTAGCACCGTTTTCATTGCAGATATGTATGAGAATGTATGTTTATATAGACTCATATAGAGTTAGGGTTAGCTATGTATTGGAAAAGTTGGTAAACTCATTATTTTGCATTTTAGCCATCTTCTTCAACTTCAAAGAAATCTGTGATAGCACTGTACAACTTTAAGCCCATAGAAGGAGGTGATCTGGCTTTGGAAAAGGTACAGCATTCAATGTTAGACTATCTATTTACAGGTGCTAGTAAAGTTAGTCTCTCTCTGCATCTCTGCCTGTTTCTCTCTTGCCTCTATCTCTCTTTCTCTCCTCCTCCCACTTCACCCCCGTCTCTCTCCATCTCTTCCCGCATTCCCTTTCGTTTTCTCTCTCTCTCTCCATCTCTTCCCGCATTCCCTTTCGTTCTCTCTCTCTCTCTCTCTCTCTCTCTCTCTCTCTCTCTCTTCTGTCTCTCTCGTCTCTTCTCTCTCTCTCTCTCTCTCTCTCTCTCTCTCTCTCTCTCTCTCTCTCTCTCTCTCTCTCTCTCTCTCTCTCTCTCTCTCTCTCTCTCTCTCTCTCTCTCTCTCTCTCTCTCTCTCTCTATATATATATATATATATATATGATTATATTATATGTGCCCATCACTAATTCATTGTTTTTGTATACAATGTCTTTCTACACTAAAGCTTGATATGTACAGACGTTAGTAGGTAATAGAATGCTATATTATACTTTACATGTTTACATGTGAGTAAATTAAAGAGTTAATCTCTTTAATAATACTTGATTTGTATATTAGGAAATAGCAAATATTACATCAGGAATCTGCATACGGTTAAAATAAAGCTTTTAAATATACTTTTAATTGTAATTGTTTGTTCTTGCATTAGTTTAAGTTGGCATTTTATCAATTTTTGTATGTATATGCACTCCAGGGTGAGGAATATGAGATATTAGACTACTCGAGGGATCACTGGTGGCAAGCGAAGAACAAATATGGGTAATTATCAAAGTTTGTTTTTACGCGATAAAACCGTTGTTAGCAGACACCAGTACAGAACAGCCACACTAGTCTAAAAAGGATAGTTACAGCATTTCCCTTAAGCGTCAGTTATACAGTGAAACTACGTCTATAGAACCTGTCTATGAAGGGCACTTTTAGCATTTAACTCGAACGACAGTTATGCATTGAAACCACTTCTGTAGAATAACCACCTGTCTATAAAAAAACATTTTTGGCATTTCCCTCGCGTGAGAGTTATGCAGTATAACTACCTCTAAGGAATGAAAACCTGTATTATGATGGCCAATTTTGGGAGTTTTTCTCAAGTGGTCTCCATATACAGGTTTGGTTTAAATTTCATGACAATCATCACTATATAGTCAGTTGCATTTATGTGGATCTGGCACATGTGCTAAATGTGTGAACATGTGAGCCATACAGCCATATAAGCCATGCAGGTTTTTTAGCAATTATGAGAAAGCTGCCAAAAATGTGTTCTCCTCATGGTTCCAGATTTTGTTGACAAAGTGTTGATTTAACCAGTATGTATATATAAGCAGAGTAATTACATGTGGGTTTAATAGGATTATATTTGGATTTATCCGATCCATGAACTGCAGGAGTATAGTATGGGCAAGCAAACAGGTTGTTCGACATCTGCAATAGAGTTTCAAATTAGTCAAAATTAAATTAAATCTGCGGGATATCATGATTGATTAAATTGATTATGAAACCAAATGACTAGACGTCAACAATATTGATGATCATGTACACCACTAATAAGGAGGCACACCTGTAGCAATTGTGGGTAGTCAAATGAGCAATAATCACTTTTTTGTTTTTATTACTAGCAATCAGTATTTTATAGGGTACATAGCGAAAGAAATTCAATTTGTAAAAATAGATTATATCTAATCTGTGTGAATATTTTTTAGACATGTTGGATTTATCCCAAGCAACTACGTCGAAGGAAAAACAGCATCTGGTCTAGAACAGTACGAGTGAGTAACCAGCTTAGTGATGTGGTCATTTAAATTTCATAGAAGCACGCATTTCTCTGTGCGTGTGCACGTGCTTCTAGGTGGGTGAGTGAGTGCACATGCATTTATCTGTGTTTGTGCATGCCCGCTTATGTGTGTGTGTTATGTCAACAGAGAAAGATACAGAGCAACCGAGAATGAATACATAGCGACATGAAAATCATAAATGTTTACCAAAATTACAGTTTTTGTATTATCTCAAGCCTTTGACTAGTTGTACTAGGTGGTATGAGAGGGATACAAGATGTACGTTTTTTTCATCCACTGGGTGATAAGAAAGAGACATGTGCTTATGTTTGTAGGTGGTATGAGAGAGACATGACCAGGCAGAGGGCAGAGGAGCTACTACGAGCCGACGGAAAGGAGGGCTGCTTTGCCGTGAGAAATTCTTCGACACCAGGCCTCTACACACTGTCCGTGTTTTCCAGGAGGTGTGCAATTTGAGTTGGCATGCTAAAGTGCTCTGCTTCTATCACACTACCATGAATATATATATATATATATTTATTTATATATATTTATATATATATATATATATCAGGGTTTTCCCAAGGAATTTAGTACCTGTCAATTCCATCATGCCTTCAAAGCTAAAGTTATTTTGTGACATCCCATAAGTCTTCTGATGTGCCTTAATTGCCTAATCGACATGCAAACGTTTTTGTGTTGCATGTATTTTATAAATCACATTTTAAATTTTTTAATGAGTATTAAATATTTAAATATGTAGAGTATACTTACTTTATTGATGTCACTCTGTTCAGAGAATGCCTTGCTTTTAGGTAACACTGTTCGTGTTTTTTTTAGTCCGAATCTGCTAGTGAGGCATTATCATATCAAAAAGCAGCCGAATGGACAGTATTACTTGTCGGAAAAACACCTGTTCTCAACGATTCCTGAGCTCATCCAATATCACAAGCACAACTGTGGTGGTAAGAATGTCCAGTCGTCACTTCCCTGTACGCAGTTGTGTGTGGAATATTGTCAATGTCAAACATTTCAATTCCCGGTCCGAATATCTTGGACGTATAGTTCAACTGCACATTTCTCTTTCAATTTCAGACTTATGATAGTCATAACTATTGGTGATGTTTCAGATGTCGAGCCCCTAGTTGTTAGAAGTTATTGGAAGTTAATTTATGTTATGTTAATTTATGATCTTCAGGTTTGGTTACGCGGTTGCGCAACCCTCCTAGTGGAAATCTAAGAGTAGCGCCAACAACTGCTGGTCTAAGTCATGGTACGTTTGCAGTTAGACATATGATAGCAGTCACTGCTATAGAACATATGTGCTTGTCTCAAAAGAATGCTTTTTGGGGTTCACTTGAGTGGCAGTAATGCAGTGAAACCATGTCTGTAGAACAGGCATCTGCTTATAAACGATATTTTCTGGAGTTCCCTCAAATGATTTACAGGTTCGATTTGGTAGCTGGATTCTCTTTGCAGTAAGCAAGTGAAAAAAGTCATTTTCAGCTTCTAGTTTCCACAGTGTCAAGTAGTTTAGAAAGTTTTGTACTGAAACAAGCATACTGCTAAGTGTGTGAGTCTGCTATGTTGAATGTCACCTACTGCCATCTGGTAACTAACTCTTGCTAACAGGTGAATTAGATTCATCGTATAAATAAATTACTCTTAATATTGTTACGAAAATCCTTATTATTCTAGTATATGCTGTGTATATTTTCCTTATACACTTGTCTGTGACATTTATATCAGTGGATTAAGTTTTTATCAAGTCGACCTTGTTTAGTTACCTTACTATTCTGCTTGGTAATTGCATTTTAGACAAGTGGGAAATCGACCCCAGTGAACTCACATTGCTGGACGAATTAGGCAGTGGCCAGTTTGGGGTGAGTTGAATCACTGTCTGAATGTATTGTTGTAAATCTGCAGTAAGAGTTGCCAGGTTTATTGAGGTGCATGGAGGTTTTAACAGCACTTAAGATATTAAGGTTTAGTTTTTTAGTTGTTAAACATTGGGCTTGATCATATTTCCTTGGGAGAAGCCATTAAGTTAAGGAAGAAGAAGTATGCGTCGTGGATGTGATCTATGCATTGTCTATGATGGCTCATTGCAGGTAGTGCGGCGGGGCTTGTTCCGAGGCAGCATCGAGGTCGCAATCAAGATGATGAAGGAGAACACGATGAGTGAAGACGACTTTATCGAGGAAGCCAAAGTGATGACGTATGTGCTGCCATTAGTAATGTTAAAGCCGTACAATGCGCATCCATACGCTAATTTCTCCAGTACTAGACTAGCAAATACTTTGTGTCATGCATAATCACACTACCTTATGACAAAATAAACTCTAGTTCCTCCCATTTCACTGCACGTTGTCTTATAAAAGGTATTTGAAAATACCTCCAATGTTGTTCAAATTCTCCGATGTTGTTGACAGTTTCGCGTTGCTTTCCCAAGCAACCGTGCAGCGGTGCTGCGGTACAGCGGTACGGGTGTAGCAAAGATAAAAACATGTGACGTCACCTAACCACTTCGAGGCTAAATTGTTTGGCAAACAAGTCGGCGTTGGTGCCAGAATGCCAGTTTTCTCACCTCTTTCTGGTTGGTTTTAAGCAAACGCGCAGTGAAATGGGAGGAACTAGAGTTTATTTTGTCATAAGGTAGTGTGATTATGCATGCCACGAAGTATTTGCTAGTCTAGTACTGGAGAAATTAGCATTTGGATGCGCATTGTGCGGCTTTAATATTAATACTTAATAATAAATTAATAATATTAATATTTAATCAATATTAATTGCAGCAACGTTAGGAGTTGCAACTAGTTGACCGCTGTCTTAGCAGCGTGTGCTGTAAGACTTGTTTGAAGGACTCGGATGTTTTCGTGAAGTACTGCTGTCTGTTGTATCATGTTTAGGCAACTTCATCACTGAAGCTAAAGTGATGACGTATGTACTTTGTGTACTGTCTCGTTGATTTTGAAATTGAGAATATATTATGTGTCGTCTAACTAGCCGTGAGTGTTTAGTTTACTGACATTGGGTGTATTTGTGTATGTGTAGACTTGATTGGCATGAAATTTAAACATAAGGGGCAGGTGACATTTGTTTATTCTGTGCTTTAATTTTGTGATGCTGATACAAAGCTATTTTAGTAGTCTCGCAAATATCTTGAGCTTCAGTCATTCACTGTATTGTTTCTAGGCAACTCCAACACCCTAACCTGGTGCAGCTGTATGGAGTATCCAGCAAGCAACGGCCCATCATGATCGTAACAGAATTCATGAAGCATGGTATGCACAAACACTGTTAGCAGGATGTTTCCTCTATTTCCCTGCCTGGCACGAATCGAAGTAACTAATTCCTCCATGCTATTTTTAATCTGCTGGATTGTTAGTGCCTGCATATTTAGCCCAAGTTAAATATTAGCACACACAAAATTTCATTACAAATTTAATATTATTTACAAAGTTGAATATTATTTAGCACGTTTTGCGCATCCGTGTCCTTTTCGACGACAGGTGCTCTGCTGACATACCTGCGTAAGAACGAGTCACGCATCGTCAGCCAGGTGGCGCTGCTGCTCGACATGTGCGTGCAGGTGTGCAGCGCGATGGCGTACCTCGAGATGAACAGCTTCATTCATCGAGATCTCGCCGCAAGAAACTGCCTCGTCGGCAATGACAATGCGATCAAGGTCGCGGATTTCGGGCTCGCGAGGTAGGCCTGCTCGCGCGTGGCTGAACACGTGCGTTAGAGAATAGATGGTGAATCTACAGAGATGTCCGTATAGACTCCGTCTGAAACGCATCGTTATTAATCCGCATTTTATCGCATTAATCGCAATTTGTCCGATGAGCCGCCATATTGATGTTCGGTAGTCCATATATTCTGATTGCCACCACCTATGGTACTATCAACCACCATATCTTATTGTCATTAGCAGATCTTCTGAAGATTTCTGCTTAATTTATGATTGAGCTATTTGTATTTACAATTTAATAATTTATACATATTTATACTTAATTTATACAATTTAATAAGATTACCTGCTGTAGGTATGTTTTCGGATGCCTTATCTATGAGACCAATTTTTACTTGTCATGATAATTGTCATTGTTGCAGGTATGTCTTGGATGACGAGTACACAAGTTCGGGTGGTACGAAATTTCCCATCAAATGGGCACCACCGGAGGTTTTAGGTTACGCAAGGTTCAGCAGCAAATCAGATGTTTGGGCGTTTGGTAAGTTTGTACGTTTGATCTTTATTAAGAGGTTATTCTTAGATTAAGGACCCCAAGATTATTTTGATTAAGGGATCGATTATTATCTTACAAAAGATTATAGTTTTCTGTGGTTGAGTGTGAAAGTTAATGACTTTTATATCTATCATAAGCATCATCACATAGTAATCAGTCCTGGGCAAAATATGACATGATGTGAAACTGTGATGATGCGAAAATAAATCAGTGAATAGATGGCGTGCCTATCCGCTGTAGGTATCCTGATGTGGGAGGTATTCACGGGAGGCAAGATGCCGTACGGTCGCAACACGACCAATACGCAGACGGTGGAGCTGGTGCAGCGTGGCTTCCGTCTCGAGAAGCCTGGATTCTGCCCTCCCGAGGTTTACAAGTTCATGCGCAACTGCTGGGAACAGGTGAGGATGCTACTGACTGTAGCATCGCGGTCCTCTGTCATTTCATGTGATATGTAGGCTTTCTTCATACATGTCGTATTTCGTGCATTAGAGTTAAAATCAGTGACCGTGTAAATTTGCAAATGACATTTTTTGTGAAAATTTTTTGTCTTCCATTAAATTTTTCATCACTCTAATAGCAATCTTGTTATTGGTGGCTGCATTACCATTTATTTACTGTGGTTATCTCTATAAGAAGTAAATTTACCAGGTGAAGAGCAGCATACTTTCTAGACATTAACTAGTGACACCCAGTGATCAATGATTTTTGTCATCATTGAACATTAAAATACAATATCAAGAGCTAATAATACCTAGAGTGTACAACGGAAAAACGGGAAAATAGTGCTATTTCACGACAACATTATTCTACTTTGCCTGCGAGTTTATAATAATTTCATGGTATCAAGAGCGGATAATACCTAGAGTGTACAACGGAAAAACGGGAAAATAGTGCTATTTCACGACAACATTATTCTACTTTGCCTGCGAGTCTATAATAATTTCATGGTATTGCATTAAGCAGAATTCTTTGCTCTCTAAAACAACACCAACCGCTTGTCAATACGATACTCCTAGGCGGAGATATCGGCTCCTAAACCTCCCCTCACACATGCCAAACGCCGTCTCGAATCCACTTCTGTCCCCATCCTTCACGCGGCTAAGCGTTGCTTCGTGAGAGTTCGGTTTTTCCGCCATAATTTTATGAATGATTTTCGGGTGCAGTTGCATAGGTGACATTCGGGGGCATCGCCTATGCCCTTATCTCCCATTATCTTTCCTAGCACGGCTAATGCCCGTCATGATGGAGCCGGCAATGTTTTTTTAATTAAGTCTCTACAACGCAGCTAGTAAGAGTACCAAATTTGGGCATGTGACATCAATTATCAGCGCTCCAAGCGGTGACGGAAACCGATAGCCGAAATGCTTAGACGCGTGAAGGATGGGGACAGAAGTGGATTCGAGGCGGCGTTTGGCATGTGGGAGGGGAGGTTTAGGAGCCGATATCTCCGCCTAGGAGTATCGTATTGACAAGCGGTTGGTCTTGTTTTAGAGAGCAAAGAATTCTGCTTAATGCAATACCATGAAATTATTATAGACTCGCAGGGAAAGTAGAATAATGTTGTCGTGAAATAGCACTATTTTCCCGTTTTTCCGTTGTACACTCTAGGTATTATTAGCTCTTGACAATATTTATAAATAGCCAGAAGTTTACCTTATACTGATATGAGAGGACCTGTTGTTTTGTGGGTTAGGTGAAAATAGTTTGTTATAATTCACTAGAATGCACTATTTTGCAGACAGTTAGCAACGTTCTGGGGAGCATGTGCCCTTGTACACTACGTTGCGGGAGAATGGTCGAATTTTCCAGCACCAAAACCCGTTAGCGATTGTGTCTCTGATTGATGGTTTGTTTCATTTCAGACTCCGGAGCAGAGGCCGTCATTTGCAAAGCTTAAAACACTGCTAGAGAGACTGCAAGAGGACAGAGATTATCACTGAGGTGCAGCAAAGTACGCGGAAAAATACCGAGTATCTCGGTCCTCATCGACAATAAACTGTCAATATTGCTAATTACCGCGTAATATTGTACCTGTCAATATTGTAAATGTACCGCTTGCATTAAACCAAGCTAAACAGGTGTCAATGTCAGGCAGCTCAAACCTAACACACAGTTAGGTGTTATCAGTGCTGTCACTGTAAACGTGAACACTATGTGTGGTTCATTGAAGACCAATGTATAGTGCTGCGATAGGTGTGGCGTATGCAGAGACGTGACATTTTGGCATATTAGCACCCAGTATGGTCAGCACACTGGGTATATATATACACATGCACACGCACGTGTATACTGTAGGTCCGATATAACGTGGAATCACTGATAACCTAATCAAAGGCTATACCTCAATTAACTAGGAATTGGTTAACACCCATTTTTCTTTCTTTTTTCTTAAAATATCTATAAATATCTGTCTATTGGGGTAGGTCTTGCCCAGTCTGATACACTGAAAGTGCACTATTTTGCTCAGTCAGCCTATTTATAAAAAGTGTAAACTCGACATAAAGCGGACTCAAACGGTCTGAGGTTTTGGATTTCAATCTGCCGCATTATATCAGATCTGCTCTGTATATATATATATATATATATATATATATATATATATATATATATATATATA